GTAAAGAGTCGGCTCAGGGGAATGAGTCCTGATTTGGGAAAGCGCTCGTGAGTACTGGTTTTGGTAATCATCACACACGAGTCCCAGGGTCTGTCACGTTCAGCGAGGCAAAATAATTTCCCAAATATCCTTCTCCCCCTAGCTCAGAATTCCAACCAAACCGTCGAACCAGCATGGCAAGGGAGATTCCGCAACATTTGGCAATAATTTGCCGCAGCGGGATTTGCCCAGCTGTCCAGTCAATAAGTCCAGATTAAGAAAGCACCTCACCTTCAATCAAAGCATGAGGAGGAGTTTTTGTTTCTGAACAGGAAGGCTGCCGGGGAACATCATTCCCTTTTTTTAATTGGAATCAAAATATACATTGTTTTCTGTGTTCTTGGTAACCTGTAGAGGAATTGACTTCCACCGGGGACCGTCACATGCAGTTTCTCTATCTGAGACGTAGGCTGTCCATCTTGGTTTTGAGATGCTGGGGACGGAAATGGTGCGGTCCGCCTGGAGTTACCTCCCAGACCTCGAAGCTCTGGCTGCGTTGGGTGCGGGATAAGCCAGCAGCACCGGCTCCCTGCGGAACCTTGTCACAACGCAGGACCTCAGGCCCCACCCCAGACCTACTGGATCAGAACCCACATTTTAACCTCATGGTTCAGTCACGTGAGATGTTGAATTTTCTTTTCTCAGCCTGATTGGTTTTAACGGAGAAAACTATGTCCAACGGCAAAAATCTAGTAGTCCCTCTGCACAAAGAAACAACAGATTCCCTACTTCCTTCCTTTGCTCTTTTTTTTTTTAATGTGGATTTTTCCCAGCTTCGTTACATGTGCTTGGCGAATAAAAATTATGTAGCTGTGCGTGTCGCAAATCACCTTAAACTTACACAACATGGTGGCAGTTGTAGCTCAGTAAAGCTGGGGATAATTGTATTCCATATAGATTTCCTCAACATCTTTAATCCTTTTCTTCCTCCACGCAACAATTATTGAGAACCGACTACGTAGAAATAAACCAAATCCAAATAACACAAGCAAAATCTATTCTGAACCCGCTGTAGAACGGGAGTCCATCCCCGTCACTTGCATCGGGGCAGAGACTCGAAGGCAGGCAGGGCAGGGAGCAAGATTTACCGTGGAGAAAGGCGAGGCTTCAGGTGTGGCCCGACCGGAGGCTGCTGGGAGTGGGGAGGCGGCAGGTGAACTAACCAGAAGCAGGACATCCGATGTGATCGGTTAGGGGTCGTATCTGGCTGGCTCTGGTTGGTCCTAAGTTGGAAACAAAGACAAAATGTAAGGAAGCTCTTAGTTATTCGTGAAGTCTGGCCATTCGGGGCTGATTGTGAAAGAGCTTAGCTTCCTGGATTGCTGCTAGACTCAGCAGTCTGGCCTCCTGCATGTCTGGCTTCTAGCAGCTTCCTAGACTAATTACTGCAGATAGAATGATTGGTTTCCTGGGTGCGTTGCTGCAGGATGGAAGTCACAGTTCTGTTTTTTATACTTGGTCTCATCATTGTCTGTGTGCACACGGTCTCAGGTATATCCCAGGTGCTTGGTGCTGGCATACAAAGCCGTATAAAAGTGATGTCTGCTCTCAGGGAGCCTACTGTCTAGTCGTTACCATCGTTATTAACATAGAAAGGTTCTTTTATGCAATAAGACATGAAAAAGAAATGGGGAGCAAAGATTGGAAAAGAAGTTTACCCACGTCATTATTTCCATGTGGCTTCATTGCCGTCTTCGGTATTAGCCTCTGGGGCAAGACGTGCTTTTAGGCCAGGGGGTTGATCGGGGAGGGCAAGAAGTAACTTATTTTATTGCTGAAATTGTAGTGACGAGAATATTACAAAGACCTGTCTGTGTGGCACCCACAAGGCCAGGTGAAACGTGACCATCGGGAGTAATTGTAGTCTCTGAATGAACCACATTCCGTGCTCCCCAAATTGGCTCTGGGAGAGGAACTGCATACCATCCATAGACATGGACAAGACCTACCAGAAGCAGGGCTACTGCTTGAGGAACCCACAGGATCACCCCAAGGCAAGCATCTTCAAGATCTCCCCCCTCCTCTTTTAGAGTCTCATTACTATGCCTCCTTTGCCACGGGTGCTGGTGTAAGACACAGCCCCAAGAGTTGCCTTCTTTTTTTTTTTTTTTTTTAATTTTTTTTTTAACGTTTATTTATTTTTGGGACAGAGAGAGACAGAGCATGAACGGGGGAGGGGCAGAGAGAGAGGGAGACACAGAATCGGAAACAGGCTCCAGGCTCTGAGCCATCAGCCCAGAGCCCGACGCGGGGCTCGAACTCACGGACCGCGAGATCGTGACCTGGCTGAAGTCGGACGCTTAACCGACTGCGCCACCCAGGCGCCCAAGAGTTGCCTTCTTAAGGCAGAACCCTGATAAAAGCGTGGAAGGAAGGACAGTTAACTTGTTTTCCTCCTAGTCCCTGAAAAATCAGTATCTCCCCGGCTCCTCTGCTCAGAAGAAAGAAGGGCCAATGAAAATGGGGAGCTGGCTTTGTTCTCTGACGGTCCAGAAGGTAGAGATGCGAGAAGGTTGAGGCAGCCATATTCCACACAAGAAGGGACCATGTCGCAGCTGACCTACCACAGCATGAGCTGTCCCAGCAGTGATGTGCTTTCCACCCGTGAGACGAAAGCTGAGTAACTCCTTGCCAAAGATGGTGGCAGTGCTAGGGAGAATGGGGTGGACTGTGTGGCAATGTCCGCAACGTCCACCCCTTACCCACACCCCACGGTGTAGCACGTGTGATAGGAGTGCTCCAAGAGCGAGTTCTTTTTGGTCTAAGCCAACCAGGACAATCACAAATCCTTTGTCATTATGATTGCCTGAACTACTCAGTCCATAGCACTCTCCCATGAGCTTGTGACCCAATTTAGTTCTCTGGACGATGAGATGAAGCACTTCCAAAAAATAAAAATGCTCACCTTTCCAAGAGCACTGTAGGCAAGGACACTCTCTGATCTTCTGGAGGGCATGGTGTGCACCTGTGAAGTCAGGAACTGTCATCATGAGGGAGACTAGCTTCAGAATGAAGCTTTCAGAGAGGGTGAAGTCAAGAGCATAAAGATAGCAAAAAATTACCATCCTTAAGTTCCTCACTAAACTGCTGGATCAAACCAACCCTGAAGCCCACCCAACTACTTCTCGGCTTCCAGTTACAAAAGCCAATAAAACCCTTTATTGTTTGGCCTACTTTCGGTTGGGTTTTCTGTGTTTCGACCTGGAACAGAGCTTATACAGAGGGGGTTCCTTTCCTTATGCAGAGGGGGTTCCTTTCCTGGAAGAGAAGCAGGCCAAGTTGACTTTTGAGTATGACTAGGATATTTCATACTTCCAAACATTTCTCAGACAAGATAAACATCCCCGTCAAAGACTACTGCTGAACAAATCACATACTTAACTTTAAATTCAAGAAGCTAAAATAGAGAACCCAGACTCTCTGGGCTTAGGAGTGCTTCCTTCTCAAATACTGTAAAGGGACTGAATGGAGTCTGGGGGACGGAGAAAAAGAGGGAGAGGCTTGGCTAAGGCCTGCGATATTCAAGACTTAACAATACGTTAATTTGCCCAGTATTTGACACGGCCGTGGCAGTGCCCTGTTTGCTTATAAATTTGGTTTTGTTTGCTAGCAGCAGCCCTGATGCTTCTCGGGCACATCAGCATCCCAGCCATAAATGATGATTAAGGTTTCAGAAGGCTTAGGCTCTACCTTTTCCCTAAAACTCTTAAAATGACCTCCCCCCTCTGCAGGCAGCCTCCCCCCTCGTGTGTGTGCTTTGCACACCAGGCTCCGCGTCAGAGCCCTGCAGCCGACTGAAACACTGTAAACTCTGGGGGTCCAAGATAACTATTCTTAAAATAAATAAAGCCGAGGGAAGACGTGAGCGTCCACAGGAATATTTGCCCCTCTAGGTCCTGGTTCTTTTATCTTCTCTGGCTGAGAGGAGGAGCCCATTCCTGAACCTGAGCTTGGGCCTACGTGTGCCTGTTAGGATTCCAGAAACACCAGGTCGTGTTTCCTCCAGAGCAGGGGCAGGAGAGAGGGGCTGTCGTTTCTCTTGCGAAGAGGAGGTCAAAGGCTGTGGGAGTCCTGGGATTATCAGCCGGCCTCATGGTAGGGGAGGTGTGCAGAGAGGTCCAGGAACCTGCTCCTTCTCAAGTCTGCGTTTGCAAACACGGGTGGGGGTGGGACTGCCCTTCCTCTGAGATGGGAGAGCTGCCCCAAGCTGAGGCCAGGAGGTGGCAGCGAGCCCCCTGTCCCTTGTGGGAGGGCACAGGGTAGAGGAGATGCTGGGGCCCCCAGGATGGTGGAGCAGAGGGCTGGCAGGCCTCCGTGGATGCCTCTACCCGCCCGCTCACCACCTGGTGTCCTCCAGTCACACTTCCCTGCCAGACAGTCCCCAGGCTGCCATGCAGCCTCAGACAGTGGCTGTTAGGATGTTTCTCATGAGTTAGTGCCGGGCTGCCCCTGGCACCCTAGGCAGAGGCCAGACCTTCCTCCTAAAAGTGCGCTTTCAGCCAAACCTTAGCCTCGCCCCTTCTCTCCCTCTGCTATTCCCCAGGGGAAGCGTTCCGGAATGTAATGGCTTAGCATGATGCTTAGCATACTTTTAAGGTCTCAAAAATGCCAGCCGCTGTTGCTGCTATGGGCCCGCCCTTGCCAGCTGTGCAAACACAAAGCCTTTAAAGATCACCAAGAATCCACTTCCACATTGATGGGTTTTCCCAGACAGGCAGCCCTGACTCAGGTCAGTCGTCTTCAGTGCCCGCCCTCCACCTCTCTTCAGTCCCCCCCCCCACCTCTCCCACTGGCAAAATGCAGACTGGCAAAGGGGGGCCCAGAGACGATGATGTCAACCAGCCCCTTTTGAGGTTTCAGTACCGTTCCCACCCCCTAGCCGACGACCCTGTCTCCACCTGGTGACTCTGATGATGGACAACTGCCCTTTGTCTCTCCACAGCACCCCCTGAGTGCCTACTCCCTTACGTAAAGGTTCTGTTCAGGGGTCACCCCTTGTTCTCCTCCCCCGGCCGCCGCTGTCCCCAGAACAGCGGCTGACCCTAGCGCCAGCCCCTCCCTCTGCCGTGGGACCAGATGACCTGTGAGAACTCTGTCGCCTACTGACAGATGCGAGGCAGGACCCACGACGAGGGCAAGGGTCTCCCCCCGCCTCCAGTGCCCTCGAGGGACCCTGGGACGCCTTTGGTTTGGCCTCTTGGCCACAGGAAACATCTCCCAAGTAGTTGTGTTAATAGAGGGCTGAAGAGGCCCAGATGATCCAACATCGTGAATCATGGGGAGACGGCCTGTGTGTTGCTGGTGGTGGTTAACTGAGGGTGCCCTGGCAAATAGCTTCAGACATAACGTCGGAGGCTTGAACTGTTGTCTCGGGGTTTCCCATCTCAGATCCCCCATCACCTCCCAAGCAGGGGGTGGAGGAAGGGAGTGGGCATTGATCCTTGGGTTCTAAGAGATCTTCACCTGCATTTCGTTACAGAAGTTGATTTAGGACCCCAGAGCCTTAAGCAGGGAAAATACTCTCAATATGTGTCCTACAGGTGGGTTGGGGTGGGGAGGGCGATGGATAAATAATGCTCCTTTTTTTTTTTTTTCCATCTCCCAAATATGGAACCAATTGATAAATAGAAGACATGTGAAACAGATGGGTGGAGATTTAACCCATCAGCTTTGTAATTAACGAGCTGATTGGAAAATGCGTCTTGAGACGCCTGGCCAAAAGGGCTCACCAGCCCTGGCTACGTACGTGCCCCTCCGTGTTGCCCCTGGACAGGCGTCGGGACAGCCCACGTGGGGAAAAGTTCAGGTCAGTAATCGACGTATACTCACCCAGGATGGCAGCCTGGCACCTGTCCCAGGTAGAGGGAAGGAGAGTTCACATTCCTCCAAATGTGAACCAGCGTATGTCAGCCTCTTTTTGATCCAGTAACTCGGTCCATTCCTATGAAGAGAGTAAGGATCAGGATTAGAGGCAAGAAGTTCCTGCACTAGAAAACATGACAACAAGGGAATGGATGGTCTTCCCCAAACGTGGATGAAAGCCAGGTTTGCTTTAGACCCTGACATCCCTCCTCCCCCCACAGAGAATCATCATGACTCTCCAATAAGAGTTCTTAGCATTTTGGGGCACCTGGGGGCTCAGTCGGTTAAGCATCCAACTTCAGCTCAGGTCATGATCTCGCGGTCCGTGAGTTCGAGCCCCGCGTTGAGCTCCGGGCTGACAGCTGTCAGGCCTGGAGCCTGCTTCCGGTTCTGCGTCTCCCTCTGTCTCTGTCCCTCCCCCACTTGTGTGTGCTCTCTCTCTCTTTCTCTCTCTCAAAATTAAACCAACATTTTTAAAAAATGTAACAGTTAACATTTTGGAAGTCAGGAGAGTCTGTGGACAGATGAGGTCATGTGGCCTCATATACGGGTACAAGTCGCGGGGCCGACAGCTGCAGTCACTAATGACACTACTGGACAGGGAGATCACCTCCTCGTCCCACACCTTGCAGATCCGACTCATGACTCCTGACCACGGCTTGGGGCAGCCGTGGGCTGAGCTTGGTGGGGGGTCCCAGACAGTCCTGTGTCTGCGTCTGCCTGGAGGCCTCTCCCGGCATGTCACTAAACGTGGAGGGAACACTGGGACATACCCTGCCCTCGCCTGGATCCTGCCTGTTGATTCCTCCTCACCTTCGGTCTTAGGTCCTTAGCTCATTGGCCGTTTTCTCAGGAAGGCTCTCCCCCTGCGCCCCCACCCCCGCTGCTCAAGCCTTGACTGGCCACTCCCACAGAGCCACGTTCCTGTCCTTTGGGATATCTGCTTGGGATGTGGTTTTGTGCTTGTTGGCGATACGATCCTTTGGTCAATGTCTGTTGGCCCCAACAGACCATCAGCTTTGGCAGGATGGAGATTGTGTCTGGTTTCGCCTCCTGCTGGATCCCCAGCACCGTGGCTGGCACATAAGAGGGGCTCCAGTATTTGGGGAATAAATGAAAAAGGGAATGATTTTCCTACCACACCAGAGAACAAAGATTAAAGCCGCGGTAATCCGCACTCCCCACGTGCTAACGCACAGCAAGACTGAAAAGAGTTACACACAAGAGTGAGTGGTCAGGAACTTGAACTCTCAAGGCACTGCCCGGGAGTCCAGTCACACTTTTCCGCCATTATTAGCAGTGTGACTTTGGACAAACTACGTAACCTGGCTTCCGGTTTCTTTTGCTGTTATCTGGGGATAAGAGGACCAGCTCCACAAAGTTGTTGTGAGGACAGACCGCACGTATAGTGGCTAAAACAGTGCCTGGCACACGGTGAGGACTCAGCAAACGTTGGCGATTGTTTTTCCTCAAGGAGGGAAGGTTGGTGGGTACAGAAGTTGAGAAAGATCCAACAGGGCTTCTATTGTTTCTTGAGCTAGAAGGGAAGGTTATCTTGGCGATGGGGTGGAGGAGGAAGGAGATGGGGGTTTGAAATGGCTGTTATGGGATTGGGAGTGGGAGGCGGCCTGACTGCAAGGCAGAGCTGGGGCCCAGCTGAGGCTCGACACTGTGGACGCGGGACAGCACCAACCAGCGGAATCGAGCAACTTCCCATCAGCCCTCGGCAGCCAGAGGAGGTGTGGGAAGACGGAGGTTGGACCGGTCCAGGACTGTGGTTTTGTAGGGTGGAAATCTCAGAGTTAAAAGCAGGGCAGAGGCAGAATATCGCCAACGAACAGAACCTGGTACCTGTAGGAATTTAGTGTGTGATAAAAGTGACAGTTCCAATAAGAAAGGAAAAGATTACTCCATAAACACTACTGGGGGCCGTTGGGTAACTCTTTGGGGAAAAGGTAAAGTTAGATTTTTGCCTAATATATCCAAATAGGGGCGCCTGGGTGGCTCAGTCGGTTGAGCGGCCGACTTCGGCTCAGGTCATGATCTCGCAGTCCGGGAGTTCGAGCCCCGCGTCGGGCTCTGGGCTGACAGCTGGGAGCCTGGAGCCTGCTTCCGATTCTGCGTCTCCCTCTCTCTCTGCCCCTCCCCTGCTCCCACTCTGTCTCTCTCTCTCTCTCTCTTTCTCTCTTTCAAAAACAAATAAAGATTTTTAAAAAAGAGAAAGAAAAGACAAAGAGGGATGAAGTCTTTATAGCACGACAAGCAAAAGCCAAATATTAATATCCTATAAAGAGCTCCTAAAGGTTGGTAAGGAAAAGGTGAACACACCAAGTAGAGAATGCCCAATGTCTGGGACGTAATAAGCATCCAGTAATAAAATAATTTATGTAAACAGGCAAATTCCATAGGAAGAAATGAAAATAGTCAAAAGATGCTCTGATTGCCCTTACTAAAAATCAAAGAAATGGGTATTTAAACAGCTAAAAATGACCACTTTCTACTTGCAAGTTGACAAAGATTATAAAAGACGGATAATCCCCATTTGCGGGGTGCAGGGGGAGGCCCGGAGGGGATTGTGGGGGAGGCTGGGGAGCTAGAGACATTCTCCGGCTTTGTAGGTGGGGATGTAGATTGAAACGACCTTTCTGGAAGACAACTCGCCAATGTGTATCAAAGCCTTAAAAATGTGCATACCACCTGCCCAGCAAGTATCTTCCTAGGAATTCATCCTCAGAATGAGGGTGTGGATGTGTGTGTGTGTGTGTGTGTGTGTGTGTGTGTGTGTGTGTGTGTAGATTTCTCTGGCTGGTCCACACAGCTTTTAATTGTACGGCTCATGGTTGTAGGCCGCCTTAGTGGCCAATAGAAGAATTGGTTACACAATTTCTGTCAGGCTTATAGGAAAGGCATGCTAAAGTGACATTAGAAAATAATGTCAGGGGCGCCTGGGTGGCGCAGTCGGTTAAGCGTCCGACTTCAGCTCAGGGTCACGATCTCGCGGTACGTGAGTTCGAGCCCTGCGTCGGGCTCTGGGCTGATGGCTCAGAGCCTGGAGCCTGCTTCCAGTTCTGTCTCCCTCCCTCTCTGCCCCTCTCCCACTCATGCTCTGTTTCTTTGTCTCAAAAATAAATAAACGTTAAAAAAAAGAAAAAAAAAAAGAAAAGAATGTCAAAGAGCGTTTGTTGACACGAGAAGCGACTCATAGTGTACTTTTAAGAGGATAGAGTGAATCACAACGCAGTGTGTTTACGTAACACGGAAAGTGAAGAGTAGTTACCTGTGGAGAAACGCTTCCAAGTAACCTTTGTTGTCCTCTCCTGGTTCCTCTGTATCGTCCACATGTCCTTCACGAGCAAATACTGAGTTGTAATGCGAAGACACGCAGCGAGTGGTATTCTGTTGGGGGACAAATGAGAACTGTAAGGACTAAAACCCCATCTGCTTAAATATTCCGATTCTCTCCGATCTCTCCGGCCTGTGGACACAAATGTGGGCACGCCATCAGAGGTCATTCTGTGTCAGTGTCTCGTGACCCATCTCGGGCCACTCTTGGCCGCCTGGAAGCCCCGCTAGGTTATTTCCGGAAGGGGGTAGGGTGTGACAGATGCTCACCGTCCTGTCCGCCCTCCTCCTCTTGCCGCTGTGAATCCACTTGAGGGCGCCTGTGACTGATTCTGTGACCGGAGGGACCTGTCTGGACAGGACGCCCGCCCATCCGAGGACTCTGCGTCCCGGGAGTGCAAACAGCAGGCCCTCGTGAGGCCCAGGCGCCTGGTGTCCTCACACGCCGAGCCCCTTCCAGAGTGAACAGCGGCCTCTCTCTCCTGTTCTGGTCACGTTCTGAGAGCTGGGCCCCCTTGTCCTTCCGCGTCTCTACCCACACACGCAAACAGCCCCTCCACTTCTGCCTCGGTCCTGCTTTCGGGGAACCTCACGCCGAGTCCTGGCCCAGCCCAGCCACCACGGCCTGCTGCTTCTGAGGCCATCTCCCTCCTCCTCGCAGCGGACACTGGGGTGGGTTCGCGGGTTCGCGGGGTTCGCGGAGCGTGTGGCAAAGTGCATGCCTGGGCTCGCGTCCCAGCCAGGAAAGGTTTCTGTCACCGTCATCTGACTAGGATTCACCCGATCGTGTACCTTGTCGCTTAGGTCTCAGTTTCCCCAGAGACCCAGGATCCCACACCACCCACTGTGCTAAGTACCGGGAGGGTGCAATCACGATGGGGCTCGGTGGGTCTGCTGCTCAGGAAAGCAGGCTTGTCTGGTGCACAGGGCACCGGCCACGGAACAGGCCCGCCCCCTTGGCTCTGCTTTCTGCCGTGGACGGTGGACCCTGTCCTGTCTCCAGCCTCGATGAGGCCCTGAGGCCAGGATCCAGCGCTGCCTGGCAATGAATGCCCGAGGTGTCTGGTGAGTCCGGAAGCCCACGGATGGGGTGGAGGGCGGGACCGTCTCCACTCAGTGTTTGGGGGACAGGAAATTCCTACCGGCAGGGTGACCTCATGCTGACGGGGCTGGGGAGCGTCTGCCCGGGGCTTAGTCTGGGAGAGGCACAGTGGCCTGTCCTGGGACGTGCCGAGGCCACCGCCTGCAGGTTCTTCCCAGGAGGATGCATCCTGGAGGCTTAATGTCCTTGCGGACTCCGGAGCCTGGATCTGGCATGCAGGCCGCTGCCCATCCAAACCCTTCCTGCGTCCCCTCCTGTGAGGTTGGGCCCTCTTGCGGGGGCTTGGGAAACCCAGACCCCCCACCCCACCCCCCGCCATGTGGCTGCAAAACCAGCTCCTTCCACTGGAGCCTGGGTTCGGTGGGCCTGCTCACTCCGGACCCCTGGACGGGGCTACAGGGGTGTTGGAGGCAGGGGGTGGAGGTGGGAGGTGAGAAGGGTGGCCTGGCAGGAAAATTAGGCTCAGGACTGCCCTAATTAGAACAGAGGGGAACGTGGGGGGCCTGGGTGGCACAGCCAGTTAAGTGTCCAACTTTGGCTCAGGTAATGATCTCGCGGTTCGCGGGTTCGAGCCCCGCGTCGGGCTCTGTGCTGGCAGCTGGGAGCCTGGAGCCTGCTTCCGATTCTGTGTCTCCCTCGCTCTCTGCCCCTCCCCTGCTCATGCTGTCTCTTTCTCTCTCCCTCAAAAATAAAATAAACATTACAAAAATTAAAATTAAAAAAAAGTAGAACAGGAGGAGCACCGATGCCTGTCCGGTCACACCTGGGCGGCCCTGGGCACATGTCGGTG